TTCATATCAACTTGTGTTGCCCTTCTAGTGAGTGCTAACTGTTGTGCAGCAGTTGCGGATGCCATGGTCCCAGACCACATAGCCTTTGGCATACACAATTCTGACAATAATAAGCCAGAAATAAAGAGCAGTGAAGTCAGTGGATTCTGTCCTCTTGCACTCAGGATTCAGGAAGCAGAAGCAGCCAAATTATCTGTACCTCCTGCCCAGGAGTGCAGGAGGTGAAGTGACCACTGCACTATTTAAAACGAGGATTAATCTGTGCCTCACCTTGGCTCCCACTCGGCTGCCACTCCTCCTATTCCTCCGGCTTCAGTCAGGAACTCCAGGCCTCCCCTCTGGTTTCCCTGTGTTTGCCCCAGGGGCGGTACAGCCTGGCACAGTCCAGTGATGAAACCCTCTGCAGGTAAGCTGAGTAGGGAGGCTGCTCACCTGTGAGATCAGTGCAGTGAGAGGGGTGGTGTGTGTATGTTTAATAAAAGAGTGGTGGGGAGCTGCCTGTATGTGTGGTGGAGTGGTGGGAGACTGTAGCTTGCATTATTGTGACCGTATGGTGTGTGGCCCCCCCATTGGACTGTGGCAGGGGAAATACCATGACCACCAAGGTGGTTTCCCTATTGGCAGGGGGAAACAATGAATGTAGCAGGGGATAGTACCCTGACCGAGGTAATGCATAACTAGCCTCCCACTTTCACTTCCAGTGGGCAGATCTCGTCTATATGTTGACTTAATGGAAATGGAAGACTCCTCCCTAGCTTGCTCCTGTGGCCATACGGCTGAGGGCAGGCAAAACTCGGGGGCATCCAAGCCCCAAGACTCTGGGTTTGGGCCTGTATATAGGATGTTTGCCAAAGTATTTGGAAGCATCTGAAGCCCCAGGCAGGGGTGGAGAATGCTTGTTGGTAGCAGGGCCACAGCTGGTTCTTGAATGATTCACATAGATTTGGAATTGATTTTGCTGATTTTACTGGGGACATGAAAAATTTTCCTTAAAAATATTGGACACCCTTGATTTAGACAATCGATCGGGGCAAATGTGTTCCATCTAGGTGTATTAACAGGACTTAGTGTGGGTGATGTTCCAATTTCAGTTGGGTCCTCTAGGGCTTTCTGTAAGGTTAGCAATGTAAAAGAACTGTTAACTAGGCCCGTGCAAATTGGCTTATATTTGCTTTGGATTCGGTCAGTTTGGGGAACAGCGATTTGAGTCGGTGATTCGAATCACTGTCCTGAGTTGATTTGGCCAAATCTGATTTAGAGATTTGATCGCCGAATCTCCGAATCGGACAGGCCCCATCCCCCGCCCGCTCTCCCAGCCCCGTAAATGGCTGCCCCACCTGGCTCCAGGTCCCCACTCTTTGGGGAGAAAGAAAAAAAAAAAAGGCCCAGCACTCACTGGCTGCTGCCAGGCAGGGGGTGATCCCCGCTGCCCCGCACTACAAGCAGGGGCTGTGCCGCAAGCCCCAAGAAGTCCTGACAGCTGCTGCAGCAGCCGGTGAGTGGGGGCTGCATTTTTGGTTTGTTTTTTAAAGAACCAGGACCTGGGGTGGGCGGGGCAGTCATGGGGTGGCTGGGAGAGCAGGCGGGGGATGGGGACTCGTGACAGCCCCCCATGCAGCGTGGGGCCATGTAGGGCAGCAGAGATGGCCCCCTCCCCCTCGCCTGGTAGGAGCGGGGGCTTTTTATTTTTTATTTTTTTTAAAGAACTGGGACCTGGGTCTGGGCAGGGCAGCCAATGGGGGTGGGGAGAGGGCTGGGAGAGCAGGCAGGGGTTGGGAGGACTGGGGGGAGCAGGCAGGGGGTCCCCCCCAACACCCTCTCCCCTACCCCCTATTTACCAGCATGGAGTCTGGGTCCAGCTGCCTGTGGCAGTGAGCAGGTACTGCCCGGATCTCCGAAGCTCTCTGAATCTTTTCTGAATTGATTCAGACCTTTTAATTGGTCTCCTCATTCGATTCAGATTCAAGAGATTTGGCCGCCAAATTAGGCCCAATCTCCTCTGAATTGAATGAACACCCAAAGCTTCAGACAGCACTACTGCTAACAACAACCAGTAAATAAAAGCCTGGACATCTTTGCCTCTCTTTAATAAGGGTTTATATGAAGGATTAGAGAATCTCGGGAGGAGTTGTTCTGATCTAACTTTTTTGTTGTTGAAAGAATTGCCTGTTGGCGTATTTTGAATCCCCACTAGATGTCAGTGTAACATAAGCACAGTAAGCTGACTGACTTTGTACCAAGAAAGTTTTGAGAACTCAGTACAGGGGATGAGATGGTAATACCTTCCAGGGTAGAAATAACATAAGCAGGCAAATTAAGTGCTGCCAAGAAGAGGGGAATCAGTTTAACTTTGGACCATGTGAGGAAGCTAGTCCTTGCCAATATTGTTTTTTGTTTTATTTTTTCCTCTGTATTTTTCCCCTAATGGGTCTTCTCATCTGTTCTCTAAACTGAGATAGATTTTCTTGAAGATGTAGGAGTGGTTTTGACTTCCTCCAGATCCCAGCAGTGCTGCTCCTGTATTAGCCATAGGTTAGGGTGACCATCCGTCCCTAATTGGGTGGGACAGTCCTGGAACAGGATCATCAAATTCCAGTCACGGACTGCATGACTCCAGGACAGCATTTATCCTGGATTTGCAGTGTCGTGCATGGATCTGGGCTTCCCCTTGCAAGCTGGAATGCAAGGGATGAGAGCATGTGACCCCCAAATTTGTGCTACGGGCTCAGTGGCAGCAGCCCGGGCACCAATGGCTGGCAGCAACTACCCCAGAATTTGGGCCGGCTGCAGCCGGGAGGCTACAAACAGCTGCTGCTTCCCCATCCCGGCCCTGGCCACAATAGACGCAGTGCCGGCACTTGCTGCCTTCCCGGAGCTGGAGCAGGGAGACAGCTGTGGCCGGGGCCAGGGTGGAAGGGGAGCAGCTGTTTACAGCCAGCTGGGAGGATGGAAGCCCCGCTGCAGGCAGCCTGGGCTCCGTAGCTATCAGCAGCTCCCCAGAACCTGGACCAGCTGCAAACAGCTGCCACCTCCCAGCCCCAGCTGCCTCCCAGCCCCAGGCTCCGGGGAGGCAGCAGGTACCAGCAGTGCTCCCTGCTGTGCTGCCCTCACCGCCACTTCTGACAAGCAGCGTTGGAACCTGTCATGGCAGGGCACAGTGGCGGGACGCAGAAAACTGCCTGCTGCTCTGAGTTCCCTGCTGCCCTGGACACTTCCCCTGTAGGCTGGGACAGCAGTGAGAGGCACAACCCTGTGTGCTGTCCATGCTTCTCCCCTGCACACAGGGGAAGTGTGACCCGGCAGCACAGAGCTTGGAGCAGCAGGCAGCTTCCCTGTGTGGCTCCTCTGTGCGCTGCCTCTCTGGGTCACACATGCTGTGCTCCTGTCCCTGCTGCCCTCCTCTGGGCCCTCCGCAACACCGTGTGTGCGACCCAGAGCAGTAGCACACAGAGGGACTGCACAGGGAAGTGCACGCACTGTGCTCCCTCACTGCTGTCCTGGCCTGGAGGTGAAGTGTGGCCAGGGCAGTGGGGAGCTCAGAGCAGCAGGCAGCTTTCTGCACCCCCCGCTGTGCCCTGCTGTGCTAGGTTCCAATGCTGCTAGGCAGAAGCAGCAGCGAGGGCACTACAGTAGGGAGCATTGCTGGTATCTGCTGCCTCCCCGGAGCCTGGGGCTGGGTCTGGGACTGGAAGGCAGCTGGGCCCAGGCCAGAGCTGGAGCTGGGAGGCAGCAGCTGCTTGCAGCTGGCCCAGGTTCTGGGTAGCTGCTGATAGCCACTGAGCCTGGGCTGGGAGGCAGGGGCTCTGGGCAGAGGGCATGGGGCAGCAGGGCTGGGGGGACAGGGGCACAAGCAGGGCATCCTTCTATGTGCCCCCTGCCCTCGTTTTGTTTTTCTGCATGCCAGCGTTCTGGCACCTTCCAAGGTAGGCATTGTGGGGTGTTTTTGGCACTCTGGCCTAAAAATGTTGCCTACCCCGTCCTAGTCTTTACCAGACCAGGAGTGAAGGAGCACCTGCAAACAAAATCCTCCTATAGCGGTGACAGCTTGATCACTGAGTCAAAAACTGCTAGGCTCCCATGCCATTTTTACTATGAAGGAAAATTTCAAGGATTATTGGTAACTTGAAAAAATTATTAATGCAACAGATAGGATATGTCTGAATGGCCAGATCATTGCATAAGAAACCCTTTTGTTTTTGGAATATTTTACTGGACATTATTTCACTAGGCTGGAGATTATTGAAAAAAATTATTAAAAAAAAAAAAAAAGTACACAAATTCCTCAATCCATATGTTCTGACTAGCCAATTGCCCATCAAGATTAATTGGGGTTGGGAGACAGGGACAGAAGCCTGTGTCTAGCCCCAGGCCCCCTCCATGCTTAGGGTCTGGCCCTGCTGCCCTGTCCCTCTGCCCCCCACCCAAAGTCCAGGCCCATTCCCCCTCTCCCCCAGTTTTGGGTCTGGTGCCACTCCCCTCCCCTACCCCTGATCTCTGGGTCTGCCCAGCCCGCATCCACCTGCCTCCTTTCCCCTCCCTCCTAGCTGTTGGCAGGGCCCGGTGCCAGGGTGCCATAACCATGCCTCAGCTCCCGTTCCCCCTCTCTGCTAGCTTTTGTCAGGGCCTGGTGGCTCCGCATCCCCCTGTGTCTGGCCCTGCCCCCACTTCTCCAGTTGGGGGAGGGGAGAATGGGCCTGCTCCACTGCTCGGTCGCCACTGGCTTCGGGAGGGGGAGGCAAGGGTGCACTTCCCACCCCTCCAGCTCAGGCCCCTGTGTTTGCACCGTCTCCTGGCCAAAAGCTCTTGGAGCACTCTGATTGGTTGTTTCAGCCAGCCAGTCAGCGTGCGAAAAAAGCATTATGGACAGACAGCCTAACACTTTTATAATAGTAGAATGTTGTATTGTCTTTCTGTATTTGTCTTAAGCCTACAAGCATTTAGCCTTGGGAGTAAGTAAAACTAAAAAGTAAAAACAAGTAAAAAATACCATACTTCTGGATATTACTGAGATATTTTATTAGCCTCCTGCTCTTGCAGTCACAGTTACCAAAAGAGGTAAAGAACAGCACCACAATGCACCACACAAGGTATATTAAAATAAAAATAGAGCATCTGCTGTATCTGTAAAACCGTTAATGTTTGTCTTATAGTACATATGTTGCTCAACTCTTTCCAGTCCCCAGTGAAGAAGCAAACAGGCATTTGTTACTGCATGATAAAAATCTTGCACAGGAGAGATCTTTCTGGTTGAAAGGATGTTTCCTGTGGAGGAAACTGCATGAATGCCCGTGTGCTCCCAGTTTCTTGAGGGAAAACAGCATTTCTCCCGCTAGAAATGTAACACCTGTACATGCCCTTAGAAAAACATTATGCTCACTTTACCTAATAAAGAAAAGAAGGCATAATGTTGCAGAAATCTAAAAAAGTAAGAGTTAAAGAGCCAAGACTATTCTAAGTTGGCTGATATGAATTACTGAGTGAACATGATTTGATATGTAGTATTTAATCTATGTACATGTCTTTGAGTAGGAGAACTATTGCAAGGCTACAACTAAATAGACAAGAAAGGCACATAAATGGGTATCTGTTTTAAAATCATTGCAACTAATTCATCAATACTGTATATTACAAATATATGTCTTTTATGCATTTTGAAAATTATAACTAGAACTTCTAAGGATACATTTCTTCTCAACTTTCATTTTACAGTTATATTATGCGCTCATGGCAGTGCCTCTCCTTCCATGTTTCTTATGTAAAATACACATGGTTGTACTTATAATAATGCACAGAACTACTACAGACCCAGTTACTATTAGAACTACTATTGTAATATTAACACCATTATTAGGGTTATTGTTATTAGGAGGAGGAGGAGGAGGAGGAGGAGTATTAGGCAAGGATTGCCTTGGAGGCAAAAACAAGGCAGCTTGTGCTATATTAGATGGTTCTGAGGTCAAGGAGGCATTATCTATGGCACGTACTGCAATATAGATTATGGTACCATTTTCTGCTGTTATATTTTCTGGTTTAAATTGAAATGATTCTTTGGTGCCGGCAGGCCGAGGTATCAAACTAGAGGTATTCACAGAAGTAGCACTCTCAAAGGCTTCCTTTAGGTCCAGGAAACTTTCACTCATTTTTATTATGTACTGCTTAGCTGAAGAAAGAAAGTAAATGAAAAAAGAATATGTTAGTGGACCTGTTTCAGCTTCTGCACATACATGATTAGCAAACAGATATGTTTTAATTGGAACTTGGATGATAATCCATTTCTGTCTCAATCACTGGCAAGTCTATCCAATCGACTACCAACTTTTCTTTCTGAGGAGGCTTGGACAAGATCTGTATTAGAAATTGTCAGGCCCATACCTTAACTGGGTCAAGGCTCTCTTGTTAACTTCTGTTAGACACTTACAGCTCTGTCCAGGCTAAGCAAAAAACTAAACCCAGGAACTGAAGAGTCTTTTGCGTGACAGTGCAGTGCTCAGCTCATGATGCCGACCTCACATGCACTTTGCAAGATTTTCTGTTAGACTAATATTAGCATTACACTTTAAGAAATTTCTCATGCTATACTGTATTGTTGCATGAGATAAATTTCACGTTTCTCTGGTGAGTCTTCAGGTCACAAAAGAGAAAAAGGCAAAGCTGAAAAGAAAGCAAACCCCAAAACGGACAGAAATAAGTCCCTGCAAGTTCCAGCACTCCCACTGTCAATGTAAAGAGACTAAACAACACAATGAAGTGGCTGCTTGATTTTAGGAGATGTTGTTGTAACTGTGGCAGAAATGCCACCGTCAGTGCCCCTCTCCAGAGACCTGTCTCTGCCAGCCTGAGAGGCTGGTGCTGAATCCCTCAGGGCGGGGATCTCCCACCTTGTCTGCATGACAAAAGCCTGGGGCCTGAATGCTCTGGTCACCTGGGCAGGGGGGGAAAGGCCCGGCCCTGCGCGCGGGCCCAGGTAGCCAGGGATGCTTGGCAGATTGGTCGGCTTGTGGCCAGTATTGGCAGCTTCGATTGGACCGGGCTGCTGAGGTCAGAGAGGTTCTTTAAGGGCCCGGGTCAGGAAGAAGGCAGCCATTAGCCATGCGGTCATCCAGGTGAATCTGAACCTGGCTCTCTCCTCATCACCGCATGCTCCAAGAGTACCCTGCCTCCAGAGGAAACCTCCAACCACCTCTGGATGATGCGAGTGAGTAAGCTACTAGAGATCCAATTAGATATTTAGCTTCAGTAACTCAGATGCGTGTTTAAACGGCTACCTCAGCCACCCTGGTTTGCTCTATGGGATTCCTTTGATATTCCTCTAATATTTCTATGATATTGCTCTACCTTTTACCCTGTTTCCGCCCTACCCCCTGTAATCAATAAAGTTCTCCTTTGTGACCGGTGTGGGAGACTTATTGAGGGGGGGGTCTAAATTATGCCGAGGAGGCCCCTTAGGTCTGTGGACTAAGGGAGACTTTCCTAGATGGGGCACTTCCCAAGTCAGGGGCTAAGTGCTTATATTGGGTCTAGTACCTATTGGACTATCAGGCCTGTGTTCTCCAAGGTGCGCAGAGCCAGAATTGAGTCCAGAGCCTTGGATGGTGGCAGAGGGAACCCCAGGCTAGCGGGTGTGCTCCAGGGAAGGGGTCGGCCGGACGTGAGGCACCCCAAGGGAGGCACTCGGAGCCTGGAAGGTGGTCGGGCGCAGGGAGGTGGGCGGCTCAACGCAGGAGCGCCCCCTACTGGTCCTCCACAGTAACTGTGTTTGACTTCTCAGATTTTCATGGCACTAGTACTGTTATTTTTCCAGGGTGGCTTCTGCTATAGACTTTTCTAGGTTTTATGTTTGATTTGACTTCTAATTATTTTCCCCACAATTTTACACACTATTTCTTCAGAGAATAGAGAAAGGTGCATGATTCATACAGCTCTGCATCACTAGCAAATCCTCTTACTGGAGGATATCTTCCCACTGCTGGCTACCCTACCTACGAAGCTACGTTGAGCTGGAGAAGAAGTAGCAAGGGAGCACGTAGTAGAACCTCAGTTCAGTCCCAGGGTGAGCTGATTACAAAGAGTTTCAGGGGTGTGTAACGCTAGAGCAGTTCTCTATGTGACTGTCAGTTGCAAGTTCTTTCTGATGCGCTGAGGATTGCATGCGTACCTCAGTAATAATATAACAAATTTATGGGACCTGGTTACAACATGCATAAGATGCATAAAGTGGGGGGCACCTTAGCTAATTCACAGAGACTAAATCCTAGCAATGCTTATGTTTTAAGCAGCTCTTCTAACTCTATATCAGCAGGGTAAACTGGAGTAGGATTGATCAGCATGACTGGTGATTTATGTTTTTAATTTAATTGTTTTGCTGCTGTTTATAAGAAAGTGTAGGATAGGTCAAATACTTTTTAACCTAAAATGCAAAATGTATCAGGGTTTGGGAACATTCCATGTTTCTCTGTCTTTTTTTATGGAGGATTAGGGAGTGCTACTCTGAATATCATGTTGAACAGAGTAATTTTTTGGTTATTTGGCCTGATCTATCTTAGCCTGAGTCATAGGATCTAACACATTATGGCTGATGCAAAAGATGTAGCTGTTTTTCTCATCCCAGCCTGGCTGGTATGATTCTGTAATTTCAGCTGGCTGACAAGAAAGCATAATTTCCACCTTATTGAAACAGAACTTAGACATACCTTGTCCCATGTCAAGGTCTCCCCCTGGAGCTGTCCATGATAAGCGAATGCTTTCATCTTCTATCTGAGCCTCCAGATCCATAATTTTACAGGGTGGAAATATATCAGCATATCCTCCTTCCACTCCACTCACTACAATAGAACCTCCTGATGCTGTTCTGCTGAAGCTTCCTAGTTTTGCTTGAATTTCCTCATTATTAACTTCAGGTCTTGGTGCATTCATTTGGATTGTACCTGCCCCCAAGATCATTCATAGCTTATTAGTACAACACTCCAAACTACAACACTTTCTTTTACCATTAATTTTCTACCAAAATATATTATGCAGTCATGTTGCAAAATTTTACATTGGTAAAAAAAATACTATGGATTGGACTCAACCAGGAAAATGGGAATTGGAAATTAAACATTAGTGCAATGCGACAGGTCATGACAGGCCATGCAATTCTGGGAGTGGAGCATAAAATTCCTCATATCCAAATTGGGGGATTGCTAGCTGCCATCATGGAGGTCAGGAGGATGGGGAAGAGGGAGGCATCTGCAGCTGTACCCATTCAATAACATGGAAGCAGCAGTTGTGGAGCCAGGAACTCCTTATTCCCCAGCTACTGCTTCCATGTCCCAGACCTTTAAAAAGTGGGTGTGTAGCTGGGAGCCCCAGCTGAATGCCCATTCACTTTAACTTCCCTGGGTGCCATAAGCCTGACACCTGGGAGAGGCTCCCTGATGTTGGTCTCATGGGAAGCATGCATCATGGTGCAGCTGGGTATGGAGAAGCTCCTCCATCCCCCACTGCACAGTACTGGCTTAAAGAGGCACCCACACCAGCAGCAGGGAATGGAAAAGCTCCTTCATCCCAACTGCTTGCAACAGGTGCCTTTTTAAGCAGTGTGTGCAACTGGGGATGGGGAAAGCTGCTCTCACCCCCACTGTACTCACCTATTTAAAGAGTTGCCTGATACTAGCAGCTGGGGATAAAGGAGCTTTCCTATTCCCTGCTGCCTCTTTAAACCAGCATGTGCAGCTGGGGATAGAAAATACTTCCCCATAGCAGCTACACATCTGACATCAGGAAAGAGGCAAGGGGCAGCCAGTTTTAGGACCTGGAGCTGTCACCAGCACAATCATGACAATTGAATGGGAGTGGCTTTGTCCTAGGTCCCAAGATTGCCTGTACTGGACCCCAATGCTCAGCTGAGCATTAGGTTTCAGCACCAGGCAGCCCAGGGCCTGGTTCAGACCCATGGCTTTCCCCTGTCTGAACCTGAGGATTAGGCAGGGGAGGGCTGGGTGCCAGACCCTGGAGCTGTCCCATACCCTGAGGCTCACTGGGACTTGAGTGACTATACACATGCTCTGGGGTAGAGAGGGATGTTTTAATTAGAGTGGCTCTCAGGACCTGCTTGAATTACTATGCCTGCAGCATTAGGGTTTTCCCAGACATGTCCTCGTTTTGGGTCCTCTGATTTCTGTCCAGGCAGTTTTTTGAGGTATGAACAAATGTCTGGGGTTTTGCTAGTAGAATTGCATTTCCTGGCTTGTCCTAGTGGCTTGCATGTTTACCAAGGAGTCGGGTTTTCTGTCTGTTGTGGAAAAAAGAGGGTTTTCCTCTTTAAACAAGGAAACCATAGGTTTCCCCTTGCTGGCTGGCAGCCGTCCAGCTTGCAAGGAGCTGCTTGGGGTGATTGGAGGCAGGGGGCACCACGTGTGTCTGTGCGCGCACGCGCGCGCACACACACACACACACGGTCGGCATACTGCCAGACAATGTGGTGGGAGCAGCCTCAGTAGCTGAATGCAGGTAAGCCTGTGCGGGGTGGGGGTTGGAGGGCCAGGACTTGAGGCCATTTGTTTGTGGGGGCCATTTGGTGTTTGGAGTGCATTTTTTAAATGAGGAAGCTGTTTTCCATGCCAGAATGGAGGCATGAGGATGTTGGAATGACTGTCAGGACCTGGCTCCATACTGGGCTCCCAGTTGCACAGAGAAGGGGCAAAGCTCAGTCCTCAGCATCACTCACACCCTTCCTTGCAAGCTCCACAACTGAGGATTAACCCCATCACAGCAACTGCTGAATTGGCTCAGCAGCACTCAGTTCACCAGTGGCTGTGCCATAACTGTTATATGACAGGGTTAAAACTTCAGCTGCAGGGTTTGCAAGGGGAGTGTGGTGGTGAAGAGTACAGCCTGTGCTCCATGCAGCCGGCAAGCTTTATCTGTCACAGCCATTGCTAATTCAGCCAATTGAGACTCAGCAAGTACAGAACTCAGGACAGGAGTGCTCCTTTTATACATCTCTCTTCAAATAAAGTTTTATTTTAATTAACACTCTTGTACTTAACCCTCCCCACCCTCAGTATTAAGACAAAACAGAATTTAAATTTTCTTCTGCTGATTAAATATAGACTTTAAATTATTTCTCATGTTCAGGCTCCTTGGTATTCATGGCTCCCATAGAGTACTGTATTTTTTATTACAGCATTTCTATAATAAAGTAAATCATTCTTATTAAATTATTGTACATAGTGCTCATGCTTAGTAAAATAACATACTTCCAGTTATTCTTTTTGAAAAGTACAAATGCTAGTCAAAAAGGTAATATAACAGATCTTAAGCTTTAAAAAAAAAAACATTACTGTGAAAGTAAATTAGCCCCCATCAGCCATCATTTGCACACACAAATCCACACCAAGTATTTTTATACTTTTTAAAATGTCCTTACTGTTCTCTATGTAGCCTGGCACATACAAGGCTCGACTTTGTCTCCTGCCCAATCTGACAGTTTTATCTTTTCCATGGACACGCACTTTCAAGTTGTATCTACCATCTGCCTGTAAAGATGTGAAGAACCTGGAATAGATTCCATCATTCTTGGCAACATCAGCACCTTGGCATAAAACATTAAGAGTTAACATCCAATGCCAGTTATCTTTTGGTAAGCAAGGTCATTTAGGCTGTTCAGTACTTGAGCACAAGTGGTCCTGCTGTTACTGGAGTCAATTATCATTTCAATGGGGACATTAATGAAAACTACATCATCTCTTGTGATAGTTTAGGCTTAATATATATTCATCTCAGGGTAACAATGTAGCATACAAACTAGAGATGTGAAAAGTTAAACAATCATTGAACAGATCATCTCAGTGATAACAGGTTGTAGCTTACTGGTTATTGTTTAGCCTGGGGCTGGGTGCTGGAAGGGAAGCCCTGTGGTGCTCCAGCAGGACCTAGAAGGTGGCGGGGCAGGAGGGAGAAGAGAGAAGACATGGAGGGGGTAATTAATAACCTAATAGCTCTAGGCTGGGGGAGGGAGGGAGGGAGCAGAGGGGGTGGGGGGCTCCCTGCTCTCTCCTTTGCACTGTGCCAGCAGCTACAGGGAACTGGTAAAGCCCATT